AAACAAACGAATTAAGCTGCAGTTAATCTGTATCGTAACGCCCATGGTTTGACGCTTGTAGTGTGTGCGGTTTTCTTTTTAGGTATGCTTGTGGGCTATTGTACTTAGACCACTTCGCCGTGTATATTTCAGCATTCAGGACCACACACTAGACCTGGACTACATTCGTTATTATAATATTATTACGATGTTCCTTACGCACGGTTCGAAAGTCGGTATATGGGCGCAAGATCAAAGGACGTATCGTTCTAGTCGCCGCGTGACTATAAAAGTGATCCGCACGGCACGGCTCCGTGGATCTATAATACCTATTATATTATATTGACATCGAGGAATGAGCGTGGACACAATGATGGCGTATTGCTGTGCACCTTCAAACTATAAATCATTGTACACGGTGCGTTAGCATTGAGCTCGTCGCTCCTTCCTGGTCGGACGGAATATCCCGGAACCCGCTAGGACATCCAAATAACACACACCGGTATGTAATAAATTCTATTATTGTGATCATAATATTAGTATGTGTTAAATGATTCGGACCGAGCACTGTGTATAGGTTATACGTGTTTTTTCGTATTATGTAATAAAAATTCTCCATATTGCCATCCCTGCAGCATTTACAGATTCGATATTATTTACGACAAACCGTTTGTCGCACGGGAACATAGACATTTTAAAAATAAAATGCTATAGTGTGTGGGTGGGCTACCTCGTTTTTTCGTTATGATGCTTCAAAGTACGGTGGTGTCAGCAAAACATGATGGACATGCTCTGTAGGGCACGTTTCTTTAGGCCTGCGGGGTTGGTTCTTCACTGACCACAGCGCATTGTTACGAGATGAGTTTGGAGGAAGGGAACATCGGCTCCAGTAAGAAACCTCATAATATAGCTTTGTTAAAGTATAGGTACGCCGAGCGGCCGAATGACTGACACGGCACTACTGTAAAATATAGGTTCTATGAAAATAAATTTACTTTTATTTCCCGGAGGTGTCACGTAGATCTGCGTAAACAACAAATGTGTCACAGAGAAAATACACCGTAAGAAAATATTATAATATGCCTTCTTAAAATAAATTGTATTATTAAGTATAATCAACGGGACAATATATAAAATAATAGATAATAAATGTTATTATTGAATAATAAATGATTTTATGCTCAGCGACTGTAGAATACTACTTCTGAGTATTAACAATTTTTCTAAAAATTCAGACATGAAATCTAAAAAAAAATATTTTATACCAAACGATAAACCATAATTAAATATTTTATTGTTAATAAGTTGATTATAATTTATAAGTAATGAGTCTAACAACATAATTGTAAGTCTACTCTACTACAAACTACAGAACTACCTCTACTCGTTTGGTTGTTCATTTTTGTGCGGTATTACCGTTCTATAATCTCATACTTGACAAAAAACAAATTAACTTCCTTCTTAATTCTTATTGTCGTAAAACGTCTACACAAATATTAATATAATATTACTAATGCATCTGTAAATTCCAATTTAAAGTATTAAAAATGTATTTTTAACTGTTAATGATTACTATTTCAAGAACGATAATTACGGTTATCAAAATATTATTAGGTAGGTTTCTTAAATTGTTTTTGCAACGTAATTCAAACTCAAATCTAGTATGAACTTAATCTCATACCTATTTTAATTTAATTATTGGAAGTCTAAATATTATCAAAGGTTTTTAAATGGTGAAAAAGTAAAAATATTTTATAGGTTTCATTGATGTATTATATATCTAATTAATTAATAAAGTTATATCTCGATTATAAAAAATTCTGTTTCTAACCTCCATAATATATTATCACTTATTAGTTATTGATAAAATGGTAACTCAAAATATTTAAATAGGTACCTACTCATTTTTTCTCTTGAACTTGAGTTACTGAGAGAATATACTCTATACTGTTAAAAAATATAATAGGTATTTGATTTGGTTTCTCATTAGTGCTTACTTGAATCTTCTAAAAAGTTCTAACCTATTTTTATTGGTTCCGCGGAACGCGCTGCGACGATGAAGATGAAAAGATTTTGAGAAAATCTTAGTGCATAATTCATAAATTTCAAAAAAACATTTTGACGTTTGTCTTGTCTATATGATTGACATTAATTGATTACCTGTGTTTCTGGTACCTACTTACATGAAATTAAATTAGACAAACGACATTTTCACTGAATGTTTAAATTAGCATTTTCTATGCATTTTGTCGTTTTGAGGTGTAACGGGCATTTTCAATTTTCAATTTTTTCTGGTTATTTTTGCTATAAATGGCAAAAAAAATTTATTTTTAAAAATATAATTCGTGGGTTATTGAAACTTTTAGAGTACAGATATTACTATATTTTATACACACAATGACATTTTTATATGTAATTTGTTGACAAAAATTAATTTACTTACCATAGTACTAATGCCTAATAGTAAAATAAATTACTTTAATTACAATAACATCATAGAGTACCTAGGTAGGTACTCAGTAATATCATAGGTTAATAGACCGTCTCCGCTCAAAATAATTTATTGTGTACCATGATTTTATATCATTGATTTCAAATTTAACGTATCTAGTACAAAGTCTCTAGACACCCAATGAACAGTAGAACGTTACCCACCTATTTTTATTGATATTTTTGGTTCATCTCACCCGGACCCTCTACGTTTGCATTTAACGTGCCTTTTTGAATTGTATCCTATCTTGCGTAGTTGCTTAGGTATTTGCTGTATGTTAAGGTAGCCTATAAATTAATAATTATACACTATTAGACATTTGATAGCAATATAACCTGTTTCTTCTATAGGTAATAACTGCAGAAATAGGATAAGAAGTCTATTTTTATAATTTTCATTTATATTACTTTTATGTATCCAGAATGCCAGTTTTACAAATACTTCGTGAGTTTTGTTTTTGCCTAAAAACATTTGCTATAGTTAAATTTTGTATTTTTGTCAGATCTAGCTGTATGTATACAATCATTTATATATTTATCTGTATACTATATGTATAGTAAATTAATGTGTTTTCTTAAATACAGGTAGGTACAGGTAATAAAGTACAATACATCTAGATGACTATATCTAAATGTACGATGTACGTATATTACATTTCATTGGATTACAGAGAATATGTTTTGAAATATGAAACTGACTTGCTGGTTTTGAAATTAGATTCTTTACAACAAACTACAGGTCTCTCCAAGCCCCAAGGGGTGGTCATTTTAACATTCTATTTATTTTTAAAATTTGACATTTTATTCATAAACTATACTATGTTATATTATGCAACATTTATAAGTATGCAACTAATATATATTTTAACATTGTTTACAGTCGTTGGTTAAGTAGGTGTACACTTAATAGATTTTTTGTTATTGAAATAAGTGTAGGTATTTTTTTTTAATTTCGAACCGAAGTACTATTGAAGAAGGACGTTTTTTAGATTGCCTGTGTGATGAGAAGATTTGTTGTTGTAGCAGGGTTCAAAATTATACAGACATAATAATTAGTATAATTAATGAAATAATATGCAAGAGCGGCTGTTTTCTTTTTCAATGTCAATTGATGCTCCATTAATCGATTGTATTTCTTTTAAAATGTTGATGGTATGATATTGACCAGCTATTGTGCTAAAATGTACATACAGAATATTTCATTGGTGATTGACTATATTTCGAAAAATCTAAGATCTTTTTAAATATCCAACAGAAATGATGAAAATATGTTTAAATAACACAGCCTATTACACTTTATGATTGAAGAAACAAAATAAATTACGTAAACTATATTTATCCACTTTATTGAATTGCGTTTTTCAACACTGACAAGTGAAGATTCCTAAAGTTAAAATCTTCAATTAAACGTACCTAACATGTAAGTTTTGAAATTTTAAACGAAAGTCAATTGGGTATATACTTCAATACTTGTAACCTACGTGCTACGTGGTGGCGTACCTGTGGGCTAGGATTTTAGTAGTGTGGGTCAGCCTACTGGCCAACTCACAAGAGGCGGCCACTTATGTAGGATCAACCCACTATAAATGTATTGGAAAGCCGCTCCTACTTATATAGTAATAGTTATACATAAAACAGTTATATGATTTAATTGTTTTTTACATTAATATTCATTTTAAGTAAATTTTAATGACATTTTTTTTACTTGGATGGATTATTCCATTAATAATTAGTAGGGTATTTGTGAATTGGGTATGAATGTAAATTAATGGACCTACGTAAATACAAGATGTCCTACCCGCATGTATTGTCATCTGTCTCCGCGTTACTATCGCATAACTAACATAGCTAACCTTGAGTTCAGAAAGATCCATTTTACTCTGCTATTTTCAATATTAATATTGTGATATGGGATTGTACTATTGTTTTGTAATATTTAAAATTATTTTTTTATAATAAAATACAATATTACAATGATTTGAGAGTATAATGTACAATTTTTAAATAATTATTGTTGTACAAACAAAAACAGTGTTATAACGTTATTTTGTCTTAACATGGGCTACATTATATTGACAGAAAAACAAAGGGTCTGCTAACCCCCCAAGGCCTCAGACCTATGATTGCATACAAATAATATTATTATAATATTCATGTACTAATATTATGTACCAGATATTAATTATTATATTAAATTGTATGGGCTTGGGGTATTTTGTGTCGCCATCTATGCGACGCGTGCGGTGAAAAAACACTTCAACGTGTTATTATCTGATTTTAAAGAACTTTATAATCGTGCTTCAAAGTAATAAACAATCATCAAGTAGGTATAACTGATTTTTTTTTAAACATGATGTTATTGATTTTTTTATAACATTATGATATTATAAAAAGAGTTTAGATTTGTCAGTCGTCGTCGTAATACTAATTCCCATCGTCGGTAACCACTGACGACTGACAAACCGCTGTGTCGTCACGTTGGTCGTGCTGTACTGAATGATTCCGCAGAAAGAATACAAACAATAACAAAATAATAACAAACCCTGAGCACCCGACGGTCGACACCATGACGTGACTGACTTGCTGCCCGAGACTGTGACTTTAATATACAATTGTAAAACTTACACTGACTGACCAGAGAGAATTAATCAGTATCCATAAATTTACCTGTTGTATATTTTCGTTACTATTCGCAAAAATCAATCGTCTCCAAGTAATAATTTACCGATTTTTTGTCCGCTCGTAGAGCTATTCATTCATACCGGCTTCGATTTGCCGACATCGCGAATTCCGCCAAAAGCTCACTACAGAACCGGTAGTCATGTCTGTGGATCTAACACCGGTTGACGGTAACAATGCACATACTCGTTAGTTATTATTGACTTAAACTTATACATACGATAATACGATTTATACTTAATAAATATTCATACTTAATAATCAAAATATATTGTCTATTAGTACATGATGTGTGATGCGCGTTTACTCTAGTGTTGTGGATCTGGCTCCCAGGAAGCCATGTTTTTGTAAATCATCTACCTAGTTTGTAAATAAAAAAGTACAGGGCTCCGTCATCACTGGCTGAATTTAATCTGGTGACAACCAGATCGACACTGGTTAACTTGTCCAACCCAAGTTATATATTATATCTCACTTTACCATTTTGTGTAGACTGGAGTTGAGTAATATATCCAACTTGTAGACAACACAATTTGAAATAATGTAGTTAGAACCTGTTTCAAGCCATCACGGGTTGTATTGTTTTTATTTTGGTTATTAATACTGATCCATACTTTTTGTGACTTCATGCATTGCCATTTGCCTGTTTACCAGGGCCTGGTTCATAGAAATGGTGCAAAACTTATTCGGGGGCCCCTTGTCTCCATACATTTTTACGAAGAAGTGATTACAGACCTATCCTCTGAACTCATTCATATTCTATTCTTATAAATATACATAATGTATTAATATGTGTCATATCAATGTATGTGGGTATAATATCCTTAATAACACAGTAATGCACTATTTGTATTCAAAAAACTGAATAAAAATGCAGCTTTTTTTTCAAAAAAGTATAGATTGAAACCTCTTCAACTGGTACGTTATCAAGATGACATATTACTGAATGTAATAATTAATAGGAAAATAAAAATTCCATATTACAGCAAAAACATACTTTATAACATTCACTTTCTTTGTGTTTACAGTCGTACTCGGTAACGAGGTTGCAGTTAATGTGGCTAAATTTTCACCTAACCTTATCTTTCTTTCTCTTACTCAACTCCTTGTTTAGACTTTACCCCTCTGATAAAACAATACACCTCCAGTATGTGGCTCTCTCTTTGGAAAAACCTACCTGCGAGCTTTGCCTTGAGATATAGAAATATTACACCTAATATCTCTAAAAAACCCTGATTTATTAATAACACTTATATAGACCTTATATTGTACAATTCAATCGGCTAGACATAGGACACCATCTTCTACCCAGCCACTCATTCAAACTGGGCCTAAATGATTCTCCATTCTGTACACTTCATTTAAATGAATGTATCTGTGATCTATCCCATATTTTATTTGACTGCCCTGTTCTACAGGACAACCCCCTAGTTTTAATGAATGTACTAGAAGCTCTTAATATTCCTTTTAATATCTACTCCATACTCAACACAAAATCCACAACTGCCATTAAAATTATAATTTCTTTTATATTAGATGTTGGCTTTATTATATAATATTATAATATAATGAATAATGTATTAGCTAATGAAAAAAAAAAAAATTAACCACTCAATGCTCACTGACAATTGTGAATTGTTATTAAATAGTGCATTTTTCTGGTGACTTTATGTGCTGTCTTTTATTTGATGAATTTCTGCCGCGATATCTTAATTTATAAAGTTTCTTGTTAGGTATTTATTTGTATACTCAGGCTACTGAGAGAGTGCTACTCTTTTGCACGTACAAATAATTCAAGCTCTGCTGTTCTGTCTCCCACTCTACCACCTAGCCGGCAGGTCTATTGATGGAAATGCGCGAGATCGGACGAGTTTTGGTCGCAGCCCAAAAGCGCTCTTTTAGTGGCTCAACTATAGGGATTTGATTTTATCTTGTACTTAAACATTTTGTTTTATCACAATACATATACATATAAACATTGCATTTAATATAATTTTCATTTATTATGTTCTAGTTGATACAAATTTGATTGCATTAGCAATGCATAAACTATCAATCGACAACACAAATGTTACAGATGTTCTGACTGACTGCAATATTTATCTCACTAAATTGAACCGTTCTGATTTATTAAAATCGGCTATCCTCATGGATTTAAATCTTATTTTTGATTGCTTGAATACTACAGATGAGTAAGTGAAATGATTAGTTGGCATTTTGAATATTAATTTATAACGCAGTTATTCAATTTTTTATAGAAAACAAATTGAAATGAGCTGTGCATTGCTCCAGAAACTTTTATCTGTTTTACAGCCAAATCATGCATTTAATAAGTATTCAGCCAGCATTGAACGTTCTATACATCATCCAAATGATACAGTTAAATCTACAATTTTGTCACAGGTAAATATTGTCAATGGGATATTCTTAATTATATTTTAGTCTTTATTCTATGCATTAATAATTACATTTTTTTTTTCATAATTAGTTGGAAAAAATGTTGGCCAATGACAATAATGTGGACATCCAAGTGGATTTGGCATGTACTATAGTTGACTGTTTAACAAGTAGTGATATGTCTGTTTCATACAATGCAGTAAAATGTCTTAAACAATTTCAAAGTGTTGAAACCCTTTCATCAATTCCTATATTATCAAAATTACAGACCATAATGGAAACGGATGCAAAAATACGTACACGTGTTTATGATGTGAGTTATTTACTTATATTGTAGTTATTAACTCATTAATTATACTGGTTATTTTGTAATTCCTAAATTATTTTAACTATCAGTTTTTTTTCTAAACCTTTTATTTTTTTACAGATTTTAATTCATTGGGCTAAGTCTGTGGATGCTTTAGCAATAATAAGTTCCAAAGGTCTCTTTACCAATTTGGTTAAAGACATTACCTATCCAGATGTAATGATGCAGATGGTTACTATACAAATGTTAATTCCTTTGAGCATCACTGAATATGGGTTCGATTATTTGAATTCTATTGGAATCATAAGTGGGTTGTATCGTTTACTGAGCTCAAATCCAAAAGAATTGGAAGACCCTGCTGTTGTTATACTTAACCCTAGTATGTACCAGTTTAATAATCTGTGTGTAGTTAAAATTATGGTAAACTAATATTCAAAAATGTATGTATGTAGTTGTGTTGGAGTTTTTCATAAAAGTTACTCAAGTCAGACCACTCTTCATATTCACAACATATCCTAAAGTTTTTGTTGTAATTTACGAAGTGTTAAAAGAAGGGGATGATTCACTAGTAGGCGTGGCTATAAATGCAATCACTACTTTGGCATCTTCTTGGGAGTGCAAAATATTGTTAGATAATCCTTCAGCCAGTATGATCTTAAACTATGAAGGTAAAGTGTGTTTAAGCTTAAATATTAAAAAATAAAAAATATATTATTCAACTATGATTTATTTTTGTCCAACATTGTAATCAATTATTTATTATAAATAGGTGATGAGGAATTAGATATTTGGAGTATATTTATCATTGAGTTGAGTCGTATTGCTACTAGTACCAAAACTGAATTAAAAGCAGGAGCTATTCAAGCAATCACAAAGATTATTCAAGTAGAGGTAATTAAAATATTTACATTCCTACAGTGGAACCTCGATAACTCAAACGTCTTAATGTCAAATTTTCGATAACATTTCATTAAGTACATACAGTTTTTTCCATAACTCAAATTTTTTATGCCTAGAATTTTTTTTGTCCTCCACTAATTTGAGTTATTGAAGTTCACTTCATTGGAACTTCTACATATTTTGGGAAAATTTCAAATTTCCAACACAGTAATTTAGACGCATTGTAATCTGTTAAAAATAATATTATAAAATAGAATTGTTCTCCTAGTGCACATTCTATTAATATTATTTTTTCCTCCAAAATATGCATAAAATGTTCCCAACCTTACAAATATTTGATGCAAATTAAATATTGTTTCTCATTAATATTTTGTGTTACCTTTTATATTAACCTAAACACTATTTTAGAATGGTGAACTTTCTTCGAAAAATGATATGATCGAACGTACAAAAAAATGGTTCAAACAGTTGAAAAATAATCCATTAAAAAATATTGTCCATGCATCATGCATTGTACCATTTTTAAGTATACAGCAAGCTGGATTTGAAATGTTCCAGTCACTGGCTGAACAACCATGGGGTCAAGAAGAAATTAATCAATGTTCATGTAAATACCATTAGTATTTAAAATTTTTTATTATTTTTAACTTTTTAAGAATGCTTCTAACTTGTATATATTTTCTTATGCTTATATGTTTTGATTTCAGTATTACTGGATCTTGTATTTAAGGACTGTCCAAAAGATCCTATTCCAATCAAAGATTTGAAAAAAATGATTATTAAAACACTATTAGAGTCTGATACTTCTAAAAATACTCTAAGTGAAGAACTTTTATTACGAATTCAACATAGTGATGTTATAAAATCAAATGAACATGCACCTCAACCTGATGTGTTGGTGGAAAATATGTCCATTTAGTAATACAATTAATTTAGTGCTATATAAATACTATTTATTTTGACTAATACAATATGGTGTATTTTTTTAAAACTCAATGATTTTAATAATTGTTTTGAACTCTAAACATTTTACTATTTTATTACTAATTGTAAGTTAGAAGGAAAAGATTATTTAATTTTTTTTAAATATTTTATAAATTACTAACCCTTTAAGTTTAAAGAAAAACTATAAAAGTAATTTTTTTTATTAACAAATCAGGAATTATTTATAAAATTATTAATTGAATATTATATCATAATTATATTTATTTTATAAAATAGAATAAAGACTGAATACGCAATTCGTTGAGGGCCAAAGAATTGTAAAAGTATAATTTTGAATATATTTGACTTTGAATTTTTAAATCATTGAATTTTTTTTTCTTTGGTGTTTTCATAATGGGTGATGGACATTATATTTTTACTAAAAATTATGATCGATTAGTTTTCCTAACTATTGAATTAGTCAAATATTCAAATGCCTCAAACTAATTATTTGAATGCTATTATAAAACTCAACTTCATTTGGTAAATATTAGTTTTTGAACCATGCAATCATTTAAATTTGATATGAATTGATGAAACCAGTGTAAGTCGCTCTGTTGTACCTTTTCATTCAGTTGGTTACTGTGGATGTATAAAATTTGAATTTATTGATAAATTATTGTACACAATTTTGAGCTTATAATATTTCTAAGGGTATTTTAATATTTAGTATTATATTTATTATTTATATATTTATTACTTTTAGTAATGCGGTATATATCTTTTATACAGGGTACGATCAATTTATAAGGAACCCCGTACTACATTTAAACATTTTTAATTGGCATATGAAATGTTATTAACATTTGTAAAAAACAAACTAACTAAACAAAATAGTTTCAAATGTATATAGATAGGTAGTTTAAAATAAGTCTTAAGAGGACATTATATCTACGTGTGTTAAGTGTTTTTCTACTAAAGCAGGGACAACATGCCATCATTGCTGATATGCTCATTTTAAAATCCTCATAACTCGATTTAAAATTAAAATAAAAAAAATTCTATTTGATTCACAAGATAGTAATATTATTACATACTTTTAAATTTGATAATAGGACAATTCATTCTAATATTTAAACATATTACAGAGTTTATTACGTTATTCAGAACGTACAATTTAGAAGGCTATGCGTTTGTAAGTCAGAAAATTCATGCGTATAATTTCATGCCGAGAACAAATTAATTCTTAAATTATAATCAATAGTTCTTAATATTTGAAAAAATAATAGCTCATTGTGTTTAGATTGTGTTAGGACTAATTAAATAAATCAAAAAATTATTACATTTTACGTATATTTTTTCAAATGTTACAAATAGATACACAATGAAATTATAACAATATTTAATGATTTAGGAAGCAGTGCATCATTATCATATACTTAAAAATATCTATTGTCAAATTAAAATTAATTTGTTACATTAAATTAATACAACGTATATAAAAAAGATGTTGCATATTATATTAATAACCTAATTCGTAAATAATAGTTATAACATACTTTAAGAATCAATAACATTTTTAGGTAGGTACGTAAACATATAATCATTTAAAACGAAAATCGTTTATATAATAACAAAATTATTAACATATAATATAATAATATGTTCCGTTATTAAAGAAATAATCAACACATAAATATACTATAAATTAATTTATAAATACTCTGTACTCTCGCCACTATAAGTAGTAAGTACAATTATTTTAATTTGCAAATCTGTAGTCTGTCCACAGGATGAGATAAACTCGTTTTTGAGTCTGCGTCATGTCAGCGGACGAGTCACGAGTAGGTATAATACAATACAATAATAAAATAAAATAAAATTATAGGCATAGATGTCAATGTAATGAAATACAGAAAATATAAATGATCAGTGGTTGTTCCGTTTGGTAGGTGACACGAGTTTCAGCAGCGACACAATCGGTGCTTCGAATGCGATAGACAAGATGAACGCAAAAATGTAAGACACGACGATTTGTCCCAAAAACAAAATTGCCTGAAAAGGAAACGAATTCAAATCAGTATTTACGTATACCCATTACCCAATAGTGGGTGGTCGAATGGAGGTGGCAAATTCCAGTAGAAGTTACCTTCCTACATGATAGCTGGTTTTACACAACTACACACAACTCTTAAATATTAATTTATGGCCTAGAAACAAATTATAGATAACCCATATCATTGAATAATAGGAAGTCAGTTGTAGGTATCTACACTAAAATTCATTAAATGATATTGGGTTATTTTTGTAACCCAGATAATTCAATAATGTTATATTCATATACCATATATAGTATATAGATTATATTTTTATACAACAAGAGAAACGTGAAATAAATATAGGTACCGTGTGGTTTATCATTTAATGATATGAGGAAAAAAATGGATTTATCTTGTAATTGTATGTTAAATGCATTGCATTCTTCTTTATTTTAGAAGATTTTAAGGTTCCTACTGTAGGCAGATTTAGATGGGTAAAATGATACTCCTTCCCTCCCCTTGCAAAAATGCTGTGACACTATAGCCACCCCACTACAATTATGCCACAGGATGGAGTAGATCCACAACTCTCCTCGTTGTTTCTTGCGTTTCGTCAATATATGTTTGAAAAAACGTTACTCACAAGTTTAAAATACATTTTAACTTTGGAGCTACATATAGTTAGTACTTTAGTAGGTATTTGAACCACTTACCTCTGTATAGTTTCCTATAGTTACATAATGTATAATATACGTACCACAGTCTCCACGGTCAGATGAAGCGGAGTGTCTCTTCTCATTACCACGTACCTGATGACGATCGGATGAACAAGGTAAGCACAATAGGTTGTCCGACTGAACGGTATTAAGATTTTGCAGGACAGCAATTTGTTTATGTAACCTGTAGGTAAACCAGATAATATCATCGTTATTATACATGATATTATATTAGTAAAGTTTTAATGGTGTTAAATTTAAGCTATTTGAACAATAATATTATGAACTTTGTGTGTTGGAAATTGAATGTGACTTACCTCCGTGTCCGGTGGCGCAAGCGATCACTGTCCACGATAAGCAAAGGGCCCACAAAGTGTGACTCAACGACGAATACGCGGCGGCAGCGACCGGATGTAGATCCATTTGGTGGACACCGAATATCAAACTGCAGAGCACAGCCGACGAAATGGTCCACCCCGCAATCACGGTCAGCTGGAAATATTAAAACGCGAATGTGATATTGTTGTCGACTCGAAAATCGAAACAGACTCTGCCAGCGCACTTACCGCGTTCATCTTGATTTTGCACTCGGTCTTGAACAGCAGCCATCCAATGGACATGCCCACGAAATATGGTCCAAGTCTCGTCCACGGTTTGTCGTAGATCTTGTCGAATAGCGCCAACGGGTCGTCAATGCTGTTGGAAAGCGTATTGTTTCGTCATTTTTTATCTTTTTTATTGGAATAATATTACGAAAAAAAATGTGTGTCAATCACTCACTTTGGCATGTGCTTGTTAGTGTATGCTATGTATCCGGTAGTGAACCACGAGGCGACCGTACAAAGCACTAAAATGACTGCCGATACTTTGAAATACCTAAACAGCCAATAGGCGTCGTGAGTTTTGAAGACGGTAGAAAATTATAATACGTACCAGTGACGCAACTAGAAAATAATTTCGGGGGAAGGGGGGGTTACATTGTAACAATATATTATATATGTATATACCTACTGTATAGACAAGATAACATGCTGGCATTTCGATATTACATACCAAATATATATTATTTATTACACAATCTGTATTACCCTTACAATAAGTGTAACTACCAGTGTAAGTGAACTTTGAAGTACAAAGGACGGTCATGAGTGGTGACTTGTTGAAAAGGACATTTGCATGGAATTATGGCAGTGATCAATTGAACGTTTTTTTTTAATGTGATTATATTAGGTAGTTTTGCTTACCGGGGGTGCTGCAATATTGTATTTATAATTGTAAATTTTGATGTAATAACTTATGATGTTGCAATAAACTTATTATTATCATTATTATTATGAAATGAAGAATCTAAACTATCATTTTGTTGAGAAAATATTTGTATATATATATGATAATAACTTGTACCTAACTTGACTATTAATTAGGATGGGTGCCCCACAAGTTCTATTCCGAGTTTTCGAAAGAAACTTAATTTTATTTGTTTATATTTCTAGTAGAGAGTACCTAAGTCCCTTTACGACTTAATCCATTTTAATGTTTATTAAATAACCGGTCGTTTCAAATGTGCAGAACGGCCGTTTAGTATTATGACCTGCAGTGGTCAATAATTGTAGTATTCAAAACTCGAAGTATCTCAACTCGTTAGGCATACCTATAGGTACAAGATCATCTATCGATGATGTTATTAAATTATTGTAAGTACTTTATATTAAGTCGGGTGATTAGCAATGCAAAACTACCTATTTAAAATTTAAATGGACATTAAGTCTTTTGAAAATCTACTAATTTATAAGTACCCATGTACTTCAATTTACTCAATGTTCATGATTGCAACTACATAACGTCAATATATATGTATAAAATATATATTGAACAGTGTATACCTGTATAAATAGTCTATCGCAATTCGTATTACATTATTTTTGGTTGCTTATGTTTAATTAATCGTTTTATCTCTCACCGAACAGATAGTATGAGAAGAATGACACCTAGTATGTAGAATTGTGTGTCGTCCGCCAAGTACCAACTCCAAAGCATGCACTGTAACAAATACGGTAACATTATCGTTGCGTCGGGCGATCGTATTAAAGCATTTTACTAGAAAGTAGTCTTTTACTCACCATGTCTTGAACGGGGAACAAAGTATTGATGTACAGCAGATTTCTCCACCAATATTTCGGGCAATTTAAGTGGTCGTCTGTCGGGGGGTCGAACACGGAATTATAATGGAACCATTTCATTGTAAGCTGTACGACGCCCAAAGCGAAGAAATACGGTGCAGTAAGTCTGGGTAAACATTTGAGCATTTAATTATTAATTTGAATAACAAATCATTGCAGCCTGAAAGTAATTTTGAGAGTGCTATTAACCTGCAGAATCGGTAAATCAGAAGTCCTATAAACTCGATGAAGTTTGACAAAAAACCTGTGGTTTTGGTAAGTTTGTTAACGTCCACTTTTGCCGTGGTCCTGAAGTAGAGAAATGAAACCAAAAGTCCGCTGTGAAAACAAAACAAAAAGGTTTATTATTTTGCTATTGCCAAAATACTGTAGTTTCTATAAGTACTTATTTGAAATACTTTTATTATTATGTTTTATTTTTCAAGTTATCATTATATCGTTTTTTTTTTAGTAACATTAAAGATTCATCCGCAATAACTTCCAAAAAAATTAAATTAAATTAACCACTCGAGTATAAAAAGTATTTCTAAGTACGAACATAAGTGAATTTCAATATTTAACAACACTGCATTTACCTGATGAAGAAGAAAGTGTCTACCGAATACGTCGCTTTGTTGATCAATTGAAACAACAAATGCCTTTCGGCCGTGGTACGGAATTCCATATTGTCTAAAACAAATATTTTATTGTAAGATAAATATCGAACTTGTGTTGACGTATGTTGACCGTGATGAGATCACAAATGATGATCAATTGAAGATAGTTACCCGAGTATTTAAATGAAACGATGCAAACATGGCCCAAAACAATCCATACCATGCTCAATGATCGGAGACCGTGTACCGTGGATATCGTGTCTTCGCCAATCGACTTATCGCATATTTGTCTTAAGTTTCTTCGCACCGAAAACGCCAGTAACATGTTCACTGCTGTACCTGAAAACGCGATTAAATCATTACAATCCATTACTTTGTGGCGAGGACTTCGGCATATACTTACAAGTCATCGGTTCGGTTTTAGACAACGTTTCAGAGCTCTTCGAAGATTCTGCATGATAAAGAAACACGATAAAATAACACAATTTATTTAAATATTAAAAATCCAAGCTTACCAGACTCCAGATCTATTTTGGAATGTTCGGAGAGCGGTTGCAACTTGGCACTACTGACAGCGTACCTGTAATTGTCAAACATGAACCCGTTCATTTTGTTACGGTCGTTTTTTTCTAAGTACATGTCCAAGCTTGTGCCCAATATCAGGAATACCATGGTTGTGGCGGATATTATTCTATAAACGGGAAAACATTACGGTTTAAACACAATGCAATAGATGATTGAGTTACGGGGAGGAGGGAGGGACACTTACACGAGGAGCCAGAAAACTCTATCACCAAACAAGTCGTAGTGATCGTGAGGCGATTTCACCTTGGCGACTTTTACATCTCTTTCCGGAATGTCTTGATGCAGGGTCTGATTGACCATCTCGTCCACGTCGTCTTTGGAACAAGAGTAAGGCAAACACAAACCCAAGTGCTGATACCTCTCCTGTTAACGAAAATACGTATAATATAATTATGAAAGTAATTCGTAAAGTATATGAACAATAACGTGAATTTGCTATATAAAAAAAAAAACTTTCTTTGAATAATGTATAAAAATTATTGTTTCATCCTCTACAAGTTTTCCCCAGATATAAGTATAAGTACAACTAGATAATAATTACATTATACAATACAGCAGGGGTCTCTAACTTTTTTTTACGGTTGGTCAAATCTGTAATACGATTCAGCATTACGACCAAATACACAGGCAATATACATATAGAGGTAATGAAATTGTTATAGTTATTATAAATTTATTTATCAAGATAAGAATAGTTTTTAAAATGATTCAAGTTATATAAGAAGTATTTTTAGGTATTATTCATATATTGAAAACAATAAAAACAAGTATATTTTCAAAACATCAATTAGCTTGGCGGGCCCTAGGTTGGAGACCCTTGCAATATAGTATAGTATAATTATGTAAATTAATATAACCTGTGTAGTTCATGTTTAATCAATAAAGAAAAAAAAATATATAATCTTATATTGTATAATTGGATTACTATTGATTGTAAAATAATAATCAAATGCATACATAAATTAAAGGTACTATTAAGGTGTACCAAATCAAATTGAAATACAGTATAACATATTTATATTTTATAAATTAAGTAAAATCATATTTACCGTATAATTAATAGGTGCTTTTAGTGCAATGTAAGTTTTTATTATATTGAATCCTAGTTTGAAAGGTAGTTCTTCATCATATTCTGATATTTCTGTACACAAACTTTTTGATCCTAACCAGAATGTATTTCCCCAGAAATAACCACTGCTGTAATGTCCACTAGCATCTGACACTAAATAAAAAAAAAAAATAATAAAAAATTTAATCTTTTTAATTTTCACGTGGTTTTAAAACAATATTGGAGTTGGAGATGATGGCAACTTACGTATAGCTATATAATAATTTTTCGTCTTTGGGAAACTTTAGATTTGGGACTACATTAAAACGTTTTTTTTGTAATTTTAAGATATATTTAGCTACAAATTTCGATTAAACTGATCTATATGAAGTCCCTCCATTACTTAGCACAAGTTAAGTCATAGTAATGTCTGTATGTGTCCATTCAATAATGTTTAACATCGTTGAAGAAATATTTAAATTTATGAAATAATAATGATAAAAAATGATTGGTATTTATTTATCATCATTCATAATTTATAAACGTCTTCAGATGACGTAATTTATAAAATATGATAAATGTTAATACAATACATAACTGACATGAAATAATATTAAAATAAATATCTATCATCTGTTCAATTGTACCTAAACTCCTCAGGCATGGTATATGTAGTAAATTAATAGTGAACATCTAAGTGGAAAAATCAACCTAGTGTTGGTACTAGTATACTACATTTTGTTTTTATTCAATTATTATTTTGAATTGATAAGCAGATCACGGTACCAATTTCTTTCTAGCTATCTCGGGTGGAGGACCCCAAACATCGTGGGTGTGTGTTGGACATGTGAGGGGGTCAGGGTGTGAAAGAAGTCTGAAGCGGAATATTTTGTAAAAAGTTACTCATATGAGTTTTAAATTTTTAGATCTGTATATATAGATTGATAGATTAGAGATACATGGTGGGGCATATTGTTTTTTGGAAGAATAATAGGTACTTACTTAAGAAAGTCTTAATTTCATTATCATTTGACTATTTAACTTTAGTTACTCCAGAGTTGAAGGTTACATTACCCAACTAAAGATTTGCACATAAGGAGATTTGAATGTAATTTTGGCACGGTTGTCGGTTGTTATTTGAAATTAATGTCCTAAGCACAGACGGAGACTTACGTTTATTGCAAACATTTTGGTTTTTTTTAAATAATGTGACCAGGTAAGATGACGTCAATGATGAACCAAGAATTTTACCAATTGGAGGGAGAAATTGGTATGGGAGATTGTAAATTGCACTGATTATAATAATTAATCTTTTTTGTAAGTAAATTCTACAATTAAAACTGTTTACCTGTATTAAAAACGTGAATTCCATTGATAGTAACTTTTGACCTGTGTACTTAAATGTTTGATTTTCGTATCACATTAATGTAAAGTATGTAATGTTGGCATTATATTCTGCCAAAACGTATAAAGCATGATACTAAAATATTCCAACTATACGAATATACGTCATGTTATGTAAAGTTGGCAAATGTATTTTCAGTTTATTTTTTTTAAATGTATATTTAAATATAGTATAAATTGTACATAAAATTTGATTTTTTTATGGAATTCACATTTATTTAGTACCGATGGAGGAGTTAACATTTATTTTTTCAGTTAAAAAAAATCCATCGGTGGAATTTATATACACCCATTGAAATATTATCTAAGAAAATATCTAAAACAAAATAATGAGTACCTTTAAGGTAGGTAGGTAATGAATCACTAATAATTATTCGAATTCCATTTCATAAAACGGAGGTGCTCTTAAATGTTTTTGTGGAAATTTCATGTAATATATTAAGCAATTATTAAATCATATAGTATAAACCATAATTTAAGATATACTATCTATGGTATGAATAGATAAAAAAATACCTTTATTGCTTAAACTATACATTAATAGCCAGTTTAGATATTTTACAAACTTTTATTCAATAATCAATAATACTATATAGTACCTGTATAATGTTTTACTATGCCAATAACTTTGCGGTAATAGTATTCCTTGGTCACCTAACATCAAATGCCTAGGTGTAATTTTGAACAGAAAACTAACATGGTCATCTACATATCATCTCAAATCTACAACAAGGCTTCCAAAGGCTAAAGTACTATAATCATTGATCAACCGACAAACATCATTAAGTTCGGAGATGTTCTCCTATGCTATATAAGCAATCCTACGAACATTTCTCTCGTGTGCAGTCCCTGTGTGGGGAAATCGTGTTAAGACCCACATACACAAAATTCAAGTATTTCAATCCAAAGTTCTTAGGACAATATCTAATGCTCCACGGTTTGTACGTAATGACGCACTAACAAAGACGCCCAGCTACCGAACAATAACTGATTACATACAAAATTAGCAATCAACTTCTTCAACCACATCAAATCTGTTCGCCGTGCAAAATTTTACAGACTAAGTGATCCACCTTCTATACGTCGACTAAAGCGTGGACGTACACACAACCTTTTATTATAATATTATTATATTACCTTCTTAATTGTGAATACTATTTAACGTAGTAGTTTAATTGTATTCCAATGTTACAGTTAAGTACATGTACTGTACAAAGTCAAACACTGTAATATTTTAAAATTACTGACTATAATACTATTTAAGTTATTGTTATCTATTATCCAAATGTACAAATAGGCATGTAATTTCATTAACAGTCAGTTTAGATGTCAGGAAAACTTTAATAATAATAAAAAAAACTATACCTATGTTTACTGGTATTTATCTACCAGCAGTTTTATATTTCAACTTAAAAACTAAATGAATAGGTACTGAATATCCTAATGGATATTTTTTCTTCAATATTAACCTTACTGAAATAAGCTATATATATATATATATATGCTTTATGATATTGTTATGGTGGCTGTTATATATTTTGACGTAATATAAATAAATTATTTTTGCTTGCCTGGTATACCTATAATTATTTATTAATTGTATGTATGCATCGAAAACGATGATTTTTTTTTAAACTTCAGACATTGGAGAATGCATTAAAACAGTGTGCCTATAGGCTATAACCACGCCTGGAACGAAATGTATATAATATTGTTTTATAATATATTTTTATAAAAACATTTTGTTATTGATTGATTGTTATTATTAAAAATAATAATCTTGGACATTTGTAAGTTTACCGAAGTATTTGTTTTTTTGGAAAGACTATGGAGCGTCCCAACCCCCAAAAGTCGTATATAGTTAGGTACTCCTTCACACTATAAAATAGTCTCAAATATAAATATTTAATATGTTACAGTTACAACTAATCAGAAAGGTAGTTCATAATATGGACTTTCCCAATCAGAATCGTAAGTTCTTACTCGAGATTAGCAGGTAAACAATTACACATTTAGGTTAATTCATGCATATGAAATGTGTATGTACTATGTAGTATGTTCCTACACGAATATAAAAATGAGATGTGTAAGTTTCTACATAGGAAGTAAAAGAAAGGTGAGTATGTGACTATGTAAGTTCCTACACGGCAAACAAAAATATTATTACATCTATATAAATATATTTAATCTTCATACATTTTATAATTTAATGTACTTATATAATATTATTATAAGTTTAAAATATCATAATAGGTAAATCAATTTATCACCATAAATTTTGTTGTAATATTTCATAATTGTGAAAAAATTGTATACTTCAGATGGATAGGAGGGATTATTATGATATATACACTTTAATATTTGTTATACAAAAGTGTAGTATATATATTTCATATAATATTAATTTATGAAGTATAATTATACACAATAATAATAAACTTTTCTGCCGTGTTGGTCTCGTATAGGAACTTACATTCACCCCACTCGTTCCCAGAGCCTACAATATTGCTATAAACATTGATATTTACGACAGTTGTTTAAAAATAAATTTATTATGGTTATTTTGTAGTAACTCTGGTACCTTTTAATAATGAGACATTGAGACTTAATGGACAGTATTGCAGTTGATCTTAAGAACCGAGTAATTTATGATTTAAGTAATTAGTACTCTTACGTTTTATGGATGAAAAAGAAAAACACTTATAATAAAAGACGAATAGTGTATATAAATCAAAACTCAAAAGGAAATTGTATAAATATATTTGTTTAATGTTTCAGATCAAACGATACATAGTTAATTTTTAAAATAATATTAATGTAATCAGTAATATTAATCATTAAAAATTGCTCTGTGGGTAGTTACAATATATAATAGCCACGAGCCACTCATCAGTTTGTAACACTCTGAAGGGGCTCCAAAAAATGGATATACGTGAGTATTTTATTTTTAAATAAAACATTAATTTGTAAAACATTGACACCTATAGGTTTTTCTACCAGAATTTTAAACACTTAGAATAACATCTAGGGTGCTATCGTGGTGACGGCTTTTTGTGTACTCTTAAACAGAGGTCTGCGCACGTCTATACGATATTATACATATTATGTAATATGTACAGCAGTGTGCAGTGCTTGAATTTGGAAAAATTATAAGTGGGTTGCAAAGAGCGGTAAAAAAATGCACGTACCCGAATGTGTATTTGTCTTATTGATTAAGATGTATAATTAAAAGGGGTACTGTTTTTTAAAAATAATAAAGCCTGCGCCCCTCATTCAGTCACCGCAGATCATGGCAGTATTAGCAATAAAAAATAAAAAAAACGGCGATTGATTATTTTTTGTAAAATATGAGTACTGTACTATACTAATATTGAGTATTGCGTGGTTCAATAATGAACGTTGTTGATAATCGTTTTACCACTGTTGTCACCGCACATTCGTATCGACGTTCAATCAAAACACATCGTTTATCGACAGCCACGGGTAGTATATTATTATCCAGTAGCCATAATATTATTGATTGATCAATGCTAATACTTATTAATGTAATAGCTAGAGACCGCGTGGGGGCGTCGCGATGGTAGATCTTATCGGTTCATCTATAATAATATCGTCGCAAATCGTCGGTTAGATACTTAGATGTACATCGTGTTGTTCTATTATTTGATATCGGTGAAAGATCGTCGTGCGTCTCAAAAGTCAAAGCATAGTATTATTATGCAATCCGAAAACCGTCGAGTTAAAAAAAAAAAAAAATACGTTTTATGAAT